TCCTCTTCGAGCAAATTGTCATCTTCAGTGAGGCCCTGGGAGGAGGAGTCCGAGGAGGCTCCCAGGCTGGATATGTGTACAAGAGCAGCATCAAGGTGGGGAGGAGGGTGCAGGGAGGGGTCTGGCTGGGATGGGGTGAGGCCTCTGAGGGAATGTCTGGCTCTTGGATTTGTTGGAGGGGACAGGAACCAGAGAGGGCCTAAAGAATCTGGGGGCTCTCTCCTATTTGCCAATCCAGGTGAGCTGCCTGGGACTGGAGGGGAACCTCCAAGGTGACCCTTGCCGCTTTGCACTGACCTCCAGAGGGCCAGAGGGTGGGATCCAGCGCTATGTCCTGCAGACTGCAGATCCTGCAGTGAGTCAGGCCTGGATCAAGCAAGTGGCTCAGATCCTGGAAAGCCAGCGAGACTTTCTCAATGGTGAAGCTCTCACCCTTCCCTCCCCGACATGCTCTTTCAGCCCTTTGACCTGCTGAATCCCTCACTGCCCAATCTCCAACCCCTGCCCTCTTGACCCCAGCTTCTCCCCATCTCCCCCGCGATTTACAATGGCTGACAGTTCGTGGGAGGAGGGCAAAGTGGGAGGATGATCTGGGCAGAGCCCTTAGGGAAAGAACCTGTTGTAACCCTCCTTCCGTTCCTCTCTTTGCCCCAGCATTGCAGTCACCCATTGAGTATCAGAGACGAGAGAGCCAGACCAATAGCCTGGGGCGGCCAGGAGGGCTTGGGGTGGGGAGTCCTGGGAGAATTCGGCCTGGAGACCGGGCCCAGGTCAGCACACATGCACCCATCAATGGCTCTCTCCCCTCCCTGCTGCTGTTGCCCAAAGGGGAGGTGGCCAGAGCCCCCCTGCCCCTGGACACACAGGTATGAGGAAAGGAGTTCCCCTGTTATGGGAGCAGAATGGGGAGGGCCTCTCTTATTCTGGGATCCCTAAATCCTCCTCCCCTGTATCATTCCCTTTTTCTACCACCCACCTTTTGTCTGCCCCTTCCTACTTCCTACTCTTACCTTCTACCTTCCAGTTTAACCCTGGGAGAAGCTGACCATCTTAGATGATCTAAGATGTCTAGCAAGAGGAGGTGGCTTAGCTAGGGGCATACACTGAAAACAAAGGGGTGAGGGTGGATTCCGGGACTTTTTTTTCTCCTCTAACTTGAGCTTTTCTTCAGGCCCTCAGTGACATCCCCCGAGCTCCTCGTGACTCTCCCCCAGCTCCACCAATTCCAGACACCCCTCCCTGCCAAGCCAGACTTGCCAAGCTGGATGAAGATGAGCTCTAAGTGGTGAAGGCCTGGGGTGGTGCTGACCTAGCCACCCCATTTCCCGAGGAACTTCAGGGCAATCCTTCCGACACCACCTCGGAATTCCTTCTTCATGTGTCTGGCGGGGGGGGGGGGGCGGTGGCAAGGCTGGGAGTGGTGTTGACTTGGAGGAGGATTCCTAGACTCAGAAGGACTTCTTTCTGCTTAAGGAACACAGGTTCCTTCAGCTCCCACCCCTACGCATGCATCACAGGTCCCCCCAAAAGGAGGATATGTAGGTGGGTGGGAGGGCTGGGGCAGGGGCCAGATAAAAATGATTGGTTTTGATTTTGATGTTTTTTTTCAGTTTTCTGAGATTAAAGGTTTTGTGATATCACTAAGGCTGCTGTATTGGCAGAGGGAAGGGGAAGTGGGGTAAGGCGATGGGGAGAAATCCACTGGCCTGCAGATGGTCTGGTGACAAGAGGACACAGGGTGTCGCTGTCTGTGTCCCTCACCTGCAGTTGCGGCATCTCGCAGTCCAGACCTGGAACTTGGAAAACCCTAGATCCGTGATATATCCTCCCCTTTCCCAGCCTGCCTTCTCTCCCATCTGGCCTCCATTTTAGACCCCACTGGAAAGCCCAGTGTAGTGTGACTTCCCACCATCCCCCCAGCACCCAGATTCTAAAGCACTAAACGCCCAAGTACCTTTCCTTCTGAGGCCTCCATGCTCAGCTGAGGGAGAATGGGGAGGTGGAGAGGATGCTGGGGCCTGTGGCCCTTTTTGGCTCTGGGTTCTGCTTCTTTTTGCCGTCTGCGAGGTCACAAGGCATATCTGTAGTGAGCAGGAAGGGATTCTTCTTCAAGCCACAGACCCAAGAGTGGACAGCCCAAAAGGGTCTTCACTCCTCCCAACTTCTGGGATAGCCCCTGGGACGGAGAAAACCAAACATGCAGAGATCCATATCCAGATGCCCTGTCCTGGGTCCTTGGGCATCGGTGTGTCCACTGTGTCCATTCGTCCCCTGGGCTTGGTCACGTGTACCTGGGCTTCCTCAGCAGACAATAGGCTGCTGGGGTGGGATGGTTAGGAGGAGCTGGAGCCTCCCTGTGGGCCTGAGGTCCCTCTGGCCGACAATGGGGGGAGGGACCTCTAAGGGGGGGACAGGACGTACAGCCCAGATAAGACTTCTGGGGAACAATAGGAGGAATTGAAGAGGGGAGACCCACCCTCACTGTACCCCACCCCCAGGGCTTTGGGGTCAGGGACTGGGGACCAGAGGGTGATGGGGAGGGATGCCAAGTATTCTTGTAAATGGAGGAGGGGAAGGGGAAAATAGCAGGATTCTGGATCCCAGAACCTTTGTATCTCTTGAGGGACCACAGAGGTACATGAGCTGGGTGCATGTCCCTTTTGAACTTAATTTAACTACAAATGTGTTTTGGAGTGCCAACTTTGTAAATAGCACTTGAATGTAATAAATGGCACTTCAAGTTTTTTTGGCTTCTAAGAAGTAAAAATCAAAATTTGCGATCAGTTCAGTATTTCCTCTGAAGCCCTGAACTGGGAATTGAGGCCCAGCTCCCCCAGTAGAGGTGTGGGTGGTGGTTCTCTGTCATCCCTGTCCCATACTGAAGCTGAGCCCCATCTTGGCAGGCTGTGAGACTGCTCTGCCAACAGAGCCTCTTGCATCTCTTAGGACAAGCTGTATACCCCATGAGGATTTGGGTCTGGGGGAGAGGCGTGTGTGTTGGGGGGCACGCCGAATCTTCTTGGGGAGAATGCAGAGGCTCTGGGAATGATGGGTCACTCTGGAGGAGCCGGCTATCTCCTCCCAAAGGGCCAATGGGGAAAGAGCCCGCAGCCAGGAGGCCAGAGTCAAAAGGCTGAGGAGTGGTAAAAAGTGGGTGTTGGGTGTTGAGAGTGCGCTCTGTCTCTTGTCCCTACACCTTTCCACACACCCTCCCCCTTCCCCCACCCTCGCCCCACCCCAGCAGGCTCCAGAGCGAGCGATCCCGCCAAGGATGTCTCAGGAAACGCCAAACTAGAGACGCCCTCTCCCCAAGCCTTTGCCGTCCCCGGGCCCTTGAAGGTCCCCCATGAGAGGGCGCCCTCCGGGGCCGGATTGGGCCCTGCTTCACGGAGGCGGGACTCAGGGCTAGCGGGTGGAGGGGTATTTAAGACTAGGCGGGGTTGGAGGTGGCCAAGGGCAAAATGAGTGGGCTACCAGGCGCCAGGACCTGCCCAGGCCTGGGAGAGGCCTCCGACCTTAAGTTCCCTCTGGGCGCCAAGTTCAGGGAACCGCTCACCGAGGCTCGGTTCCAGCAGCTCTTCGGAGACGCAGAGCAGGAGCCGGAGCTCCTCGCCGAGCCCCGCTTGTCGCGCCTGTGCAGACGGTGGAGGCGGCGGGCCCGCGCTGGCTCCGGACCGGGGGCGTGGCGCCTGCTGCTGGCGCGGCTGCCCCCGCTGCGTTGGCTGCCCCACTACCGCTGGCGGGCCTGGCTGCTTGGGGATGCCGTGGCCGGAGTGACCGTGGGCATCGTGCACGTGCCCCAGGGTGAGCGGCCCCAACACTTGCCTGTCTGGGGCCGAAGCTCTGGAGGGCGTCTGGAAGGCGCAAGGGCTGGGAACCCGGGAGCGAGAGGATGGGTGGTGTGGCTGAGGGTTCGGAGACAGGATCTGAGACCAAGTTCTGGGTAAGGACTACCGAGCCGCATCAGCCGCATACCCTACCCCCAGCTGCCCTCATTTGCGCAATCCTTTGAGAAGTCGTGGACACGTTCCGGGTCATGGAACTGGAGAGAGGCACAACACCTGCTTCCCCCCGCCCCCCACTCCCACCCCCCTGACTGGGCCGACACGGATCTGTGACCTTGTCCGCCCCACGACCTCCCACCGAGGCCTGTTAACCTCTCGGTTCCCTCATGTGGCATGATTTAGCGTCTCCATGCCAACCTCTAAGAGTGTGGGTAGAGAGGGGGGCGTTCTGGAGGCTGGTCACCTGCCCCCAGCCACCCCCTCCCCTACACACAACACACATCCCGAAGATCTTTCCTTCCACTTCTCCCCCAGGCATGGCTTTTGCCCTCCTGACCTCTGTGCCTCCAGTGTTCGGACTCTACACTTCCTTCTTCCCCGTCCTCATTTACACCTTGTTGGGTACTGGGAGACACGTGTCCACCGGTGAGTGACCCGGTGACTCCTCTCCTTCTCTGTGGTGTGAAAATGGACAGGGGTTTGAGGCTTCGGTTCTTGTGAGCTCCTTAGCTCTTATTCCCCTCTTCCCCTCCCCTGCTTCCCTTCCGCCTCTGCTGTTACCCTGCCAGGAACCTCGGACCTAGGCCAGGCTCTGGTTGGGTGGGGGGCGGGGGGTGCTGAGTGGGAGCAAAGAGAAGGGAGTGTCCTCGGACTTTACTTCCCCCATGAAATTTGGTTTACATGAACATCTCCGGGACTTGGAAGAGGGGGAAAGAGCTGCGCGGTCCCCCAGAGGAGCGCGCGGTCCCCTAAAGGAGCGGGCGGTCCACCAGAGGAGCGCGCGGTCCGCGGGGCGCCTGCAGGAGGAGGCCGCGAGGCCGCTAGGGGGCAGTATTTGCCGGCGGCCCCGCCCTCCTCTCCTCCCTCGCCGCGGGTTCCCGGCTGCTGCACTGGCTCTCCGCCCCACTGCCTTCACCTGAGCAGCAGCCGTCTGGGGGAGCGGGGTCTGACGACTGCAGCCCGGCAGAGGGCGCCGAGCCTGGTTGGTCGCCGGGCCCCAGGCGCCACAGCTGGTGATCTCCGCGTTTGTACCCCGGCCCTAGGAACTTTCGCGGTACTCAGCCTCATGACGGGCTCGGCCGTGGAGCGGCTGGTGCCTGAACCCCTCGGGGGTAACCTGAGTGGAATCGAGAGGGAACAGTTGGACGCTCAGCGGGTTGGGGCGGCTGCAGCCTTGGCCTTCGGGAGCGGGGCGCTGATGGTGAGAGAGGATCCTGGGGGATCCACGTGGGGGCCCCTGGGGAATTGGACCAGGAGCAAGGGAGGGACAAGTGTCCCGCGTGGGTGTAGGCGGAAGGGTTGCACTCCGGCGGGTCCGCTCCCGCAGTGACTGCGCATCTCCTCCCCTGCAGCTGGGCATGTTCGCGCTGCAGCTCGGCGTCCTGTCCACCTTTCTGTCGGAGCCTGTGGTCAAAGCGCTGACCAGCGGGGCCGCGCTGCACGTGCTCGTGTCCCAACTGCCAAGCCTTTTAGGGTTGCCCCTCCCGCGCCAGATTGGCTGCTTCGCTCTCTTCAAGGTGGGGGTGGAGAAGAGCGGAGAAGCGGCTTCTAGCGGTCCTGGGAAGAGGGAAACCCGGAAAGGAGGGAAGGAAGGACGGCGAGTGGAGGGCTAGAGGGTGACGGGGGCGGTGGGAAGGTTAGAGCCACGTGGCTGAATGAGGGTCGCTGCTGCGGAGGTGGAAGCCCTGATGGGAGCCGGGAGGCCTTGCCTCGGCCGGGTGGGTCCGCGCCGGGGGCAGTCGACCCTGGCACCGGGCCGTCGCTCACCGCGCCTGCCCGCAGACGTTGGCCGCCGTGCTGACCGCGCTGCCCCGGAGCAGTCTGGCCGAACTGACCATCTCGGCACTCAGCCTGGCGCTGCTCGTGCCTGTCAAAGAACTGAACGTGAGATTCCGAGACAAGCTACCCACCCCGATCCCAGGGGAAATCATCATGGTGAGGATGGCTCCGGGGTCCGGGGGGCCCCCTGCACCGCACAGACCCTGCCCATCCCGTAGGAGCTGGCCGCTGCCGCCCCCTCGTGGAATGCAGCGAGCTTACAGATGAGAAGTCCTGCGCATCCGTGCCCCTTTCCAGGCCTCCTCCCAGAACATTTTGACCCTCCGGAATTCCCCACCCACACGGTCCCATTTCTCGCACGGAGCCTCTTCGGGACCTCTTAGAACGCCTTCTTCCTGCTTACAGCGCTCCCTTGCGGTGTCGCCCGCCACAGCACATTCCACTCACATCTCTCCCCTCACCCGGCCCTTCACTGTTCACGGTGTCTCTCCCTTCCCACGCCCACTACATTTCTCTCTCTCCCCAACTAAATAAGTGTTTCGCATCTCCAACCACACGTCATCTATGCCTAGATATAGCCCAGCTCTCCTACTTAGAATGGCTCAGTATACTTCCTGATATCTATGATCCCTCCTGGGAGCCCCTCTTCCTTCCTCCGGTCCATCTCTTTCCATAACCTTGGGTAGACCTCATTCCTCTTTCCCATCCCCACCGCCCTCCACTCTAAATGGGCTGTCAGGCACCCATCCCAAACACATTCCAGCGCCCCCAGGGGCTGGGCCTCTGCAAACCCCTAACAGCTGCCTTAGGATCCTCTCTCCTGTGAAGCTTTTTTCCAGCCTCAGCCAGGAAGCCCATCTCCTGCCACGCCCTGATTTGCTCTTTCCCAGGTGCTTCTGGCCTCTGTGCTCTGCTTCACCTCTTCCCTGGACACAAGATACAACGTCCAGATAGTGGGCCTGCTGCCTGGAGGGTAAGGGAATCAAGACACCAGACTGCTCCTCTCCCACTTCTCCCATCCAACACTTCCTCTTGACGCGCCCCGCCCTGTCTCCTCCGTCTTCCCCATACCCTTCTTAGACCCAACCCATCCTCACCCTGGATCCCTCTCTCTCCAGATTCCCCCAGCCCCACCTCCCCAACCTGGCTGCACTGCCCAGGCTCCTGGCCGACTCGCTGCCCATGGCACTGGTCACTTTTGCTGTGTCCGCCTCCCTGGCCTCCATCTATGCAGACAAGTATAGCTACACGATTGACTCCAACCAGGTGTGACTCTGCCGGAGGACCCCAGTACATTCGGGAGACACCCCCCTAATCTGACATCCCCCCTTCCCCCCATGCCCTTGTCTCTCTCCTCGTCATCTCTCACTGCGTCCCTCCAGGAGCTCTTGGCCCACGGGGTCTCCAACTTCCTCTCCTCTGTCTTCTCCTGCTTTCCCAACTCTGCCACACTGGCCACCACCAGCCTACTCGTGGATGCTGGTGGGAACACACAGGTAGGAGCAGGTCCTTGGGTGAGGAGAAAGGGGGGTGCATATCTAGGTTGGGGTGGTGGCGGAGAAACAGGTGGAGGATTGGTGGCTCCCCAGAGGGAAGCCGTGCAGAGGAGGATAGGCGTCTGTTGGGCAGAGTGAGGTGGTGGGAGTCTCTGATAGGAGAGACGGAAGGTAACAAAGCCCCTTTAAGACCTTAGCACTGACAAAGTTTACGGCGCCCCACGTGTAGCTCGAAATAAGAATAAAACTGAACTGTAAAATAAATTTGAGAGACAAACTTCTGATTCCCGCGCCCCCCCTCCCCCGCCAACGGGGACATTTTCTTTTGAAAAGAAATATCACACATGAAAGTCTCCCCCTAATATTTCTGGTTTCCTACTCTGCTGGTCCCCTAAGAATGTGGTGAGCCTGCTTTTAGGGTAATCCAACAGTGGCTTTTAAGATGGACACGGGCCACAAAAATAAGGAAGTGAACTACATCTAGATAGGAGACTGGAGAAGGAGAGGCATTTCATTGGGAGAGGGCAAAGGTAGGTGTGAGGGGCAGAATAGCAAGGAGGGAGTGGGAGACTGAGGCATATCTTCATGGAAGGGGATTTGGGAGGAGGGAGACTTCCAAGGAAGGTGAGGCAGAGTGGGCAGGGCGGCCAGCTGTCCCACAGGGGCGGATGAGGTCCCCTTGCTTCTCGGCTTCCATCCCCCCTTCTTTCTAGCTGGCAGGCCTCTTCTCCTGCATAGTCGTTCTCTCAGTGCTGCTATGGCTGGGGCCCTTCTTCTATTATCTGCCCAAGGTAAGGAACAGAGGAGGTATGGGGGTGGCTGGGAGGGGTGGCTATATTCCAGGACATTGGGGCGGTCAGCTTGCCTCCTCTCCCCCAAGGCTGTCCTGGCCTGCATCAACATCTCCAGCATGCGCCAGATGTTCTTCCAGATGCAGGAACTTCCACAGCTATGGCGCATCAGCCGCATGGACTTCGTGAGAAGTGGCAGGATTACCCCAGATTGCCCCCTCCCGTTTCCCAGCATCCCCAGCCTCTGCCCTGGATTGGAGCTAATTGTCCTGGTCCTAAGTTCTGTAGTCCCCCCACTCTGCCCCCCTCAACATGCATACCTTCTAGTCCCATTACTCAGACACAAGGTAGAGGGTGGGGTTTGAACCCCTTCAGGCCTGAATACGTGTACCTCCCCAGCTGGTGCAAGGTCTGGGGTCATTGCCTTTGGTGTATATCCCCTGTCGGGTCAGTCCTGTCCCTTCCTCCTGTCATTCTTTCTACCTCCTCCTGGGCCATCCCTCCCTATCATTTGCCTTGGCCGGCACCACCCCTGGACCTCTTTCCCTGGCAGTGACGGCCTGGCATTTCACTTCCGTCGCTGTCCTGCAGGCCGTATGGATAGTCACATGGGTGGCCGTAGTGATCCTGAGTGTGGACCTGGGCCTGGCCATTGGTGTGGTCTTCTCCATGATGACTGTGGTCTGCCGCACCCAGAGGTGGGAAGAGAGATGAGAGGAGTTGGGAAGAGCGGTGGGGAGAGAACAGGTGCCTGGGGTGACTCTCCAGCCAGGCCAGGCTGGGAATCTGACCCCAGCTTCCTGCCTAGGGTGCAGTGCCTGGCACTTGGACTTGCCGAGGGGACGGAGCTCTACAGGCCACTCAGAGAAAGCCACAAGGTGGGTGGGCTACAGATGAAGTGGGAAGGGAAGACTAGACCTGGGTGTTTTTCTGACCCTCTGCCCTCTTAGCTCCTCAAGGTCCCGGGGCTCTGCATCCTGAGCTATCCGTCACCGCTCTACTTTGGGACCCGTGGGCAGTTTCGCCGCAGCCTGGAGTGGCACCTGGGGCTTGGAGAAGGACGCAAGGTGAGAGACCTGGTCAGAGGGGAGTGTGGCTTCTCTGGGCGAGAGAGGCCGGTGCGTCTTCTGAAGGGGCGCACGTTCATGCCTGCGTCTTGGAGACGGTAACTGCCCTTCTCTACTCACAGGGGGCTCCAAAGACAGATAGCCCACCTGATGCAGGTGAGACGGGGTGACAAGGAGGGAGACTTGGGCGTGACCTGCGGGGGCGTCCGGCTACCCCTGCCTTCTCGCATCCTAGTTGCTGAGCCTGTCAGAGTGGTGGTCCTAGACTGCAGTGGTATCGCCTTTGCAGATGCTGCTGGAGCCAGAGAAGTGCTACAGGTGAGGGATAGGGTAGGTTGAAGAGAAAGGCCCCTTAGTATCCCATGCATACCCTCTGACGTCGGATTTGACCCCCTGCCCCATCTCCACAGCTGGCCAGCCGATGCCGAGATGCTGGGATCCACCTTCTCCTGGCTCAGTGTAATGGTGAGAGGTGTGGAGGCTGGAGGAACCTGGAGCCTGGGGAATGACCAGACACTTGGGGGAGGGAAAAGGACATGGTGTGGATTTAAGAGCTAAGAACCTGATCCCCCTCTCTACACAGCCTCGGTGCTGGGGACATTGACCCAGGCAGGACTCCTGGACAGAGTGACCCCAGAACAGCTGTTTGTCAGTGTCCAGGATGCAGCTGCTCATGCCCTGGAGAGACTGGTGAGGGGGCAGTAGCAACAGAAGTGAAATCCAGGAGGTGCTGGGTTATAGCAGGTCACATGTCAGTCAGTGGCTGAGGATCTAGGCCAAGGGTTTTGGGCAGGGGACTGAGAAGGAACCTAGAGGAGGGAGGGGGGATGAAATGATGAGTCAGTTTAAGGCGAAGCCAGGGAGACTGTGCCCAGCTCTGCATGAGGAACTGAGGAGCTAAGATTTCAAAGTGGGGTGGTGTGCCCCTCAGAGGAGGACTGCCAAATGCTGAGTGAGGGAGGACGGTACCTAAGCTGTCCCTGACATGTTCCCCTCTCTTTTCCAGGAGCCTACTGGTCCAAAGACTTGCACAGTGTGGGTCTGACCCAGTCATCTGGAGTGTGGAGGGCCCCAGCAATATGTGTGTGTTGGAGTCCCCTTACTTCATGTAACTAATAAAATAAAGCTGAGAGCCTCTGGGGTTCATGAAGTGAGCCTGGGTGTCCGCACACTGACCGCTGGTGCCCCTTTCTCCATGCCCACAGCATTGCAGACACAACTAAAAATGGCTTTCACTTGTGTGTTCACCAGCCCTCACCCAGCTCCAGAGTCACCAGTTCTCTCCATGGGGTGGGGGAGGGGGTTGGGGCTGGAGCCTGTGCAGAGTCCTGGGTCCAGAGATGAGGGAGAGGGGCACAGCTCTGGGAACACACGTGGGGGGGGGCTTCCCCACCCCCTCAGTCCCAAGGAGATAAGAGGAGAGTATTTCCACTTTAAGTTCTTAGAGTCCCCATGGGCTCTTTGGCACTTGGAAAGTGACCCCCCCCACTTCCTGCCCCATGAGAAGGAGGTGGGGGGGAAGACTTGGCACTGGCTGTGGGACGAGTTATGGCTCCATCACGTCCCTAACCCTGGGCACTCACAGAAAGGAGGAGTGTCACCAGGACAAGCCCCTATTTGGGATCAGATTCTGAAGGGGATCAGGGACAGTCAGTGGAGCGGTCACCGGGTGGTGGGATTTGCTAGGAATTCCTGGGATTTTCTAGAAATTCCTGGCAGGGACAAGGAGGCAGGCCCAGCCTGACAGTTTGAAGGCCCTTAGAGGCCATCATTCTGAGGTCATGCACTGCAGCCGGTGTTTGAAGAAGAGTAGGCGATGTTTGGCCACCTGACTTTCATCCAGTGATCCTGGGTAACGGTACCGGGCATAAGTCTCTGCCCCCACATCCCTTGATGTCCAAGGCAGCTTCAGCTTAGATGCATGATCCACAACGACGTCTGAGCAGGAGCCCACTCGAAGGGAACCAAGCCCATCCAGGAAGAATTCTGGGGGAGGAGGGGGGAGGAGGGTAAGGGAGTACACAATGAAAGGTCTGAAGCTTACAGAAGGCCAACCCTTAAGGGAGAACTGAGATTTGGGGTGTGTGGAGGGTGTACAGGCAAGGACCCGGTTTCTGAAGGCCTTGGGCTAGTAATTAATTCTTGGGGCTCTTCTGTAAGATAGAGTCAACATACTTACCTTGTGCTTTGATGTTACCCTCCTCCCCACCTCCCCAAAACACACCTAAAGGTTCAATAGATACTGAATGGGCTGCTCCAGGAGTGTGGTCTGAACCAGGGGAAGCGGCTAGGAGTGGAGTGAAGGGGGCGGGGACAGTGGTGGGGAAGTTAAAGGTGGACCCAGTGGCTGTGCTGGGCGTGGAGGTTTAAATGGTGTGCGGGCCGGGAGGGTGGGAGCTCTGTCCCTTGCCAGGGCGCAGATCTTGGTAAATCTTCGCAGAACTGCCCCCAAGGGCCCCGGGTGCCAGCCGTGGGCTCCACGGGAGGAGGTGGGGGGTGGGCGTAGGAGTAGCGGTACCTTTGGAGCCTCGCCCAGCGCCCCCCACCCCGCCCCGACCCCGGGGTTCCTGCTGGGCCGGGCCTGACCGGGAGGGGGCGCCACTCACCCAGATGCGCCACGCGGCTGAGGCGCGGGTCGAAACCGACCTCGCGCACCTTGTCGGTGCGCGCCAGGAAGAAGTTGACCACGCCGTCCGTGACCACGCAGCCTGGAAAGCCGACGAGCTCGTGGTGGAAGCCGCGCCTTTGCCGGAGGCAGTTCCCGCGGCCCGGCGCGCCAGGCTCCACGCTCAGCATTTGCCGGTAGGTGGTGGCGAAGCCGGAGATCTCGCGCACCGCGCCGCCGACCTGCGAGGAGTGGGAGGACGGCTCCAGGCGGGACGGGGACTGTCGGGGGGTGGGCGCTAGATCTGTGCCCGCTCCCCAGGGCGGTTCCCCTGCCCCGTCCTCCTCCGCTCCACCCCTGCAGGACCCGGACTGTCCCCCAGGCTCCGCCGCATCGTCCTCTGTCCGTCCCAGGGCCGTCCGCTCCCGCCCGGGTCTCCCCCGCCGCTGCCTCAGCCTGCTGGAGGCCCTCCTTCTCCCACCCCACGTCCTGCAGGCCCTCCCCTACCAGGTCCAGCGGCGTCCGCTCCAGCACGTCCACCAGCCTCTCCAGCCGCGTCCGCGCCGTGAAGACGAAGTCGTCGTCCACCCACAGGACGTACTTGGTGGCTACTTGGGATACGGCCAAGTTCCGGCCTGCGAACCAGCCCTGGGGGTAGGGTATACATGGTTAGTGAGTCTGTAGAGATAGGACACAACCCCTCTGCCACCTTTCATCCTCTCTCCTGACGCCTCTAAACGGTCCAGTGCCCACGAATGCCTCAGAGCTAGGTTAAAAAGTGCAGTTTCCCACTGCCAGGGGTTCTGAGTCAGTGTTCTGGGAGAAGGTGTTGGAACGCGTTTAACTCAAGCGTGCACCCATTCATTCATTCATTCATTCACCTATTTATTGAGTGCTCCCTAGGTGCTCAGCACATTCTAAGAATGCAGTACGAATAAGACAGGCACGATTCCTGTCCCACGGAGTTTAACGTTCCAGGAACTGCCATGCCTAACAGGCACCCCGGTAATTCTGAAATTACAGGTAGGTGGTCCTGGGACTTCAGACTGAGGGCGCGCCCTGTGGCGCGCGGTTCAGCCTCGCTGGCTGCGCACCTTGCCAAAAGGCATGAGATAGTGCTCGATGTGGGGGCCGCTAATGCTCTCTGGCTTGTCGCTGTCGTCGGCGATGACCACGGTGACCGTTGGGTAGAAGCGGCGGATGCTGGCGATGAGTGCCCGTAGCCGATTGTAACGCAGGAAGGTCTTAGTAGCGATGGTGACCAGGGCGCTGATGTTGTACTGGGCTGGGAGTGAGGGGGAGGGTTAGGTGAAGAGAACCAGAGTGGGAAGTGAGGAGCAGGAAGACGTCTTCTCCCAGGGCCTCCCTCTTCCAACTTCTCCCCACCAGACCTGGATTTAGGTCCTAGCGCACACCAGCCTCACCTCCCTGGGGTAGAGATCCAGATGGGTACAGCCGAGGGTTGGGGGGGTGTCTTATGCGGATGGTAAAAGCAGCCTCATGTCCCTCCGTGGAGAACCGGACTGGGAAGAAAGGACACAAGTCATGGCCCTTAGGGCTGGGATAACAGTCCCTTTTCAGTAAATCAATATTTAAGTGCCTACTCCTTCTGGGCCTGGTGGACAAGAATGCAAGGTTTTTACCTCCATGGCACTAACATTCTAATGGGTGGGAAAAGAAAATAAAAGATTTAATTTAAAAAAGAGATTTAATGAAAAGCTAACATTTATTGAGCATTTACTATGGGCAGGTACTTTTTCAGTTACCTTAAATATAGGAACTCATTTAATCTTCACAAGCCCTATTAAGTAGATTCCTACTACAGGAAAAGGCATAGAGAAGTTAAGTAACTTGTCTCCATTTATACAACTCTTAAGCAACAAAACTGAAATAGGAACCTAGTCAGTCTTGTTCCAGGCTAAGTAAATAAAATTCAGATACTGGTAAGCATTGAAGAGAAAATAAAACAAGTAATGTGATAGTGAAGAGGAGACATTTGAGCTGAGATCCAAATGACAAGAAGGAGCCAGCCATGCAAAATTCTGGGGGAAGAGCATTCTAGGCACAGGGAACAGCAAGCGCAAGGGCCTCAAAGTGGGAGCGGGTTTGGTGTGGCAAGCCTTGGAGAGAAGCAGGAGGGTTGTGTTGTGCCTCTTTTGCTAGAGGAGAAATGGGAGCTCTGGGAGATAAAGTCCCTTGCCCTCCAGTAAGTGATGGGTTGGGAATAGAGCTCGAGTCTTCTGGCTCCTGGGGCAGGTTACTTCCTGGGGCCCCCACGGTTGGCCTGAAGGGGGGACACACCCAAAGCTTGAGTTTCCCTTTGGCCTGCTCTGGCCCCAGATGAACAAAGGCCCCTTCTCTCCCTCCCTGGTCCTGCTGGCCTAGCTGAAATGCCCATTGTGTGACTGGGTAGCTCTGGCCATTGCCCGAGTGTCTCCCACACCCTCTGCCATTTGCCTGCTCCAGCCTTTCTGGGCTCTCTGTTCAACCAGCCTGCCCCTGCCTCTGCCCAGGCCTCCCACCTGTGTCTGCTGTGTTTGCCTGGTAGCTTCGGCTGCTATACGTGACCAGTTGAAGCTGCCGGTTGAGTTGGTCCAGCCCTGGGCTGGTGAGGGTGAGATCTGGCTGCCCCTCTCCAGTGAGAGTCACTCCAGTCACTTCCCCTGCCACATCCCAGGTGCCTAAGGAGGCAGTCAGGTTCACCTGGGAGAGGGGGGTTGGAGAGTACAGGGTTAGACCTCAGACCTGCCTCTTGCCTCCCTGGTTCCTCCATCCCTCCTTTGGCAGCCAGGGTCTCCCTCCAGCATCTTCCCTCCAGCATCCATCTGGCCTTCCCAGCCTCATTTCCGCTTACCTGGTAAAGCTCCTGACCAGAAGCTGCCTGCAGGCTCAGCCCTGGGAGGAAGGAGAGGGAGTCAGAACCACAGACAGCCTTGAATTCTTCTTCCCTTTCTCTTCTCTCTTTCACCACACACAGCATGGACCTTCTCACCAATCCCCCTTTGTTGAGGCCACAGCAGGGCACGTGTGGGCACGCAGCCTAGAGTAACTGATTTTTACTCCTTCCCATCAACAATAGCTCTTTATGGCCTGCCCCACTTATCCACCTGACCTTTGGTCAGTCAGCAAAGAAGAGATTTGTTTCCCCAAACCTCTCCAGTGACAGGCTTCTGCGATTCCTGACAACCCTAGAGGCCCTTCTGTCCTCACCTCCCACCTCATGAGCCTCCTTCTGATCCCAAGTCCCCCTTTCATCAGAAGTCCCCCACTTCCCATTCCAATCTTCCTTCATTCTTCCTCAGCCAACCTTGAGCTCTGCCACCCCCACTGTGGCTTAGGTCATCTCCTAGGCCCATTCTCCCCACCTGGCACCAAGATGCTCCGGAGGGGCTGGACCTCCACACCCTGCAGGGGGTACTGAAGAGGGGAGTTGGCAGGGGCTATGAGCAGCTGGTCCGCAGCAGACTGGCTCCTGGCAAGGGAGGACAGTGCAGGAATCAGGGGCGGAGGAGCTCTCCTTCCGGTCACACCCGCCCTCTGGGCCTCCCC